AATCTCGATTTTTCGCGCCCCCCCCCCCCTTTACGCTTCTAATGAGAGGACAGCTGACGCGATTCACAAGATCGTTTTCGGATGGATTGGGAAACGTATCGAGGATTGCGCGCGAAACAAAGCGAACGGTTTCTCCGGCGGAGCCGAGACCCGATCTCTCCTCTTCTCAGGCCTCGAGGATGCCACAGTTTTCCTCCCTTTCCGCGCCGCGGCCAGGAAAACCACCGAGCGCGATTTAAGTGCGCGTTTCTTGAAAACGCGGTCGCGCGCGGCGCAACAACAAAGTGCAACGTCGATGACAAACGACGACGGGCAGAAACGAGGTGTCAGAATGACGGGACCGCAAAAGGTAATGATATGATTGGGCCGTTGCGCGCCGTACGGGGGATGTTTGCGGTTTTGCGGTTTCCGCCCCTCAAATCGACGCCTCTTCCCTCTTTTTCCCTCCCTCCCTCTCGCTCGCTCCTTCTCTGTGCCTCCCCCGCGCTCTCTTTCTACCGACTCTTATTGTTGCGCACGAGCATCGTCAATTTCACGCCGCGCCGCGGTTTACGATTCGCTAAACGACAGCGGCGCGTTTCCATGCGCGCACGGCTTAATTCTGTTTGGCGGCGTAGCAATTTTGGGAACGTCTTTCGATTTCGTAGCAAATGCGAGAAGACCGTGATCGCAATACCGAGGCGCGTAATAATCGAATATAAAGCGCGAGGGGAAAGAGAAAAGGTCGAAGCCCGGCAATATAAAAATAACGCGGCTACTCCAACTTGCTACATCGCTGCAAATGAGATAAAGCATCCCGATTGGCTGGTGAAAATTACGAAGAAAAGTCACTCGCGTAGGTGCACGGAGAAAACGATTTCTTTGGATTTAATAAATTTTGTTGTATCCCAACAAATCGTTTGTTTGAATTTTAAATAATATACGTCGTCGTCTGAAATAAAATATTGGTTTGCAGTAAACGGTATATTCTCTGCGGTCTAAGTGATATTATTGTTTTATTCAGGCAACATTATCGTTTGATAGAAAATATGTGAAAAAATGTACGTACGTACATCTTTTTCCCCTCTACATTATAATTTTCCCTTCGTTAGAAGAAGAAAGATAAACGCTGAATTAGTACACTATGTTCAGCTACAAAGAATAGCCCATTAAGATGACTAGACTGCGTCTGCTGATGCGGTCGATCATATGTTTGGCCGCCGTGATTTTACTTACGAGTTCGCCGGCCATCTAGTGGCAGCACCGAACTTTATAGGCGCCCGGTAAAATGATAAAATTATTTAATTGAAAGGTGCTACTTGAAACAATAGTGTCTTTTCTATCAAATAATAGAGATCGTTTGAGAATGAAACAACAAAATTTGTATTCAAACAAATAGCACATGTTGTTTCAACGAAACAAATCTCGATCAAATAAATAGGAATACTAAATCCAACGAAATCCTATCTCCTCTGTGTAGCACAATTTTTTTTCGCGGAGGAAGCCGAAGGTATATCAATTAAATCGCCAATCGTGGATATGCACGGTGTCTCTTATTATTTCACCGAAGCGATCGATAATTGAACGATACTGCCTCTCCGTCTGTCGGGCGATAAATTGTCGCTCGGATTTGCGTAAGACTCGCGAGACGTCTAATCCGTAAACGACCCCTTGCATAAGCCGCCGAGATTCCAGTGATTGGTTAGTTTCGTCTCCACGTTACATCCGGTTCTTACGTAAAACTTCACTCCCGACGTCGCGACGGAAAACTCGTCGGAGACGAGATGCTGTTTCCACGCATTGTTTCAAACGTTTGCGACGTATCGATTGTACACGCGTGTTACCGCGCGATACCTTGATTGCCAAAAATTAAGAGAATATTGACAAATAAGTGCGTTATTACGTAAACACTATTACTAAGCATTCAGCGAAAACGTTTTATAATAAATAAAAAGTTTCATTTGAACGCGTCATCGAAGATCTGTGAAACGACATCTCCGTTCTTTATTTTATATCGCAAAAGCGTACGTTAGCAAGATCCATCTTTGCGCATTTACATTTATGTAACTTGTTTTAAAAATCGTCCCCGCGCAATGAAATGCATTAAGACGTCCCTGACTTTTTCTCTTTTTGCCGCGCCTCATTACATTCGAGCCTGAGCAGCATCAATCTCCTCGCACGTGGAAAGCCCCGCGCGCTTTAATAGACGAATTAATCGACTCGGATGAAACATGGGACAAAAATGGCCACGGATTCTGCAATCAAACGACTCAATCCGATCTCGCCAAAAGCGTATCGTATAAATCGGGATTACTTTGTATAGACGCGAGTGTTTGTAACATTCGAGTCTTTTTAGCACGGCGGGAGAAAAGCAAACGTGGCTTGGCGCGAGCTCGCAGATATTCCCAGAATTCATCCAAATGTAAAATAAAGATACGTGCATTTTTCAAGATTCAGATTTCAATTGAAAGTTACTTGAAGCGAGTTAAACTGAACTCCTTCCTTCTTTCTTAATCAATTTTTCAAACGGAGAAAATTACGAATTTATCCCCGACGCCTCTCGATTAATCTTCAAAATAACCGAAATTTAATACACCGCTGTGCGAAAGGCACAGGGCCCTCTCGGCGACGGGCGAGCGTGCGTACACGCGTGTAAAACCCGCGCCGAAAGCGCTCGCGTTCCAGCGAGGAGGCGGCGGCGGCGGCGGCGGCGGCGTTCCAAGAAAGTTGTGGAATCTCCTGCTCGGGTCGGACCGGGGCACACGACGAATGGACAAATTACAGGGTGCACGGAATAATGAGGCTCCCGTTCTAGGACGTACATCAGAAATCGGGGCATCTCGCGGCTATAAATCACGCGGAACACGGCCGCCGAGCCGCTCCGTAAAACGGCCAATTGACGTGTTTCAGGTTGTACGAACGACGCGCGTGGCACGAGCGGAGAGAAACAAATGCGGGCATGTTTGCGATATATACATAAAATCCAAAAATAAGACGTGGACGCGAAGGGAAAACGCTACGCTATCGCGATAATAATTTATCGAACGCGTATTACCCGTAGTTTTATACGCACTTAACATCCCGCGGTGGCTCCTTATTAAATTTACATATATATTGCCACTAAGCTCGGGCGAGAAATTTGCGGAAAAACAGTATAACGTATTGTCACCGCGAAAAAACGGAAAGTATCGTTAAGCCGGGGACAACTCGTTGAAACGTGGTTATCTCTCGAGTTAACCATATGGTAATGATATTCTGTTCGACTTTGCAATGTATCGCAAAAACGATATCGCGCGTGATACGGAAAACTGAACACGCTACTTCGAAATGTAACGTCAATATTATTCGAGATTGAAAATCCTAATGACCGTAGTAAACTATCTCTATGTGTGTTCTCTCTCGACATTTCGATAATTTAGCAGCCACATTTTCGCTTGACGCGTGGATTACCGACACTTTCTTCGACAATTTCGGTAATGGTATTATCATTTCTTTTTTACAAAAATATATACAAGCTATTGGTGTCATTAATTCTCGAAAATGACGAACAAGTGTTTTTCAACCTGTACCCGTTTTATCTTCCGTTATGTCCACCTCTGTTTGCCTCACACGTACACATTTGAAAAATTTGTGTCAAATTTAACAGATGTCACACGTCCCAAACGGCCCACACAAATTTTTGTGTTAATTTAACATAATATGAATATGTTAAATCATCGCACTAATACTCTGTTAATATTTTAACACAAAATAAATGCAAATCTCAAAATGATTTGAAATAAACTTTGTGTAAAATTAAGACACATTTGAGTTTTAATGACAAAATTAATTTTTCACAATGTATTATAACTTTTACATTTTACAGAATATATAGAATAGAATCAACATTTTATTCTGTAAATTTTAACAAATATATCTTGTTACTAATAATATAGAAGATACGTATTGTGTCACGTGAAAAAATAAGTACACATTGTGTTACTTTAACATTTCTTTTCAGTTACTTTAATAATTTTACATTTGCGGTCAATTAACGCAAAAGCAATATGTCAAATTAACACATGAATGTGTTAAACATTTAACACAAAAATTTGAACCGGCATTTTTTAACAAGAAAACACAAATTTTCCAACTGCGTACGAGTGTTGTATAATTTCCGTAGAAAATATCAAGATGCAATTTAATAATCTAAACAAAAAAATTAGTTTGTAAGTTAAGTTAAGGCAGCGCCAATGTAAGAGCGTAAATAAAATTGTAACCCCGAGGGGATGACTTAAGCTACATACATTTAATAATTTAAACGACGGCGATACTTCCTTCTAGAGCAATGGTGTCCAAACATTTTAGGCTAACGTTATAATACCGATACCCCGATGTAGCAACTCTACCGCCAAAGGGAAAGAGAAAAAGGTCGCCTTCCTTTCGAAAGCGCGGGAAGAAATCACGGCGATCCAGCAACGACTTGTCCGTTACGGGCAGTTGTTGAGGCAGGTCGAGTAGACCGACTCAGAAAATCAAATGGCCACGACGAATTTATGTGCATTTCAAGTTCGTCCCGCGATCGCTCTCGCACCTGTTTCTCGCCGAAACATCCCGCCTTGGAAAATGGAACGTTTATCGATACTTTAGGACGAATTGGACAAGCGACGATAGAAACAACTGATTACATATAACCACGTTTAATCGTCGACGACTACACGAAAATTATCGGGCGTGCGCACTGTAAAAAAGTTACTTGTAAAATTACGATTATTATAGTAACATTAGGACCATCTGTTAAAGATGTATAATTACATACGTAAATTTACTCCTTGTAGGTAAAATTTATTACCTTACATAATAAGTAAACTGCTTGCTTGTAATTGTGTACGCTTTACAGTTTTTTTGTCATTTTTCGTCATACAAAAGCAAGTATTTACGTAAGAAAGAATAAAAAATAATTTGTTTAGCGAAAATACATACATTGATATATTTCCGTTATTAATAGCGTAATCGCCGCACTTATTATGTACGTAATTTTGCATACTTTTTTTCACAGTGCGGCCGCATTCCAACGTAAGGTAAAGTTACGTCATAGGACCGTCGCAATGACAGCTGAAAGTGTGCGACAGCTAAAGATATCGCGATAAGCCGCGCTCCAAAGTGCGCGCTCATTATCCGCGCAATAATAATCGCTTTTACCGATTGTCACCGCGTTGCGATGGGGGGAAAAAAAAAGAAAAAGTGACGTAGTACTAGGTAAAATGCAGGAAATCTCACTCACCCGTATATGGCGTCCTTGTCACGTTTGTGGACATCGGGCACCGCGGAGGCCGCGGCCGCAGCTGCCGCCGCGAGAACGTGCTGTGGCGGCTGAGGAGGTGGCGGTGGGTACTGGGGGTGCGCTGGCCCCATACCTCCCAGGTGTGGGCTGTGATGGAGACCGGGAACACCGCGGGCAGTGTGTGGATCGTACAGCCCCGCGCCTGCAGCGCCACCGCCCTCGAGGTAACCCCCGTGCAGCCCGCCATCATCGTACTGCAATCACAAAGTTGTAAAAGTTACGAAGCTGGAATAAAGACGCCTCATCTTACTCGAGGACATGCACCCGTATATGTTGTACCATGGATTACTACTTTAGGTCAACGTAATATTAGACAATTGTATAATCATGATTCAACTTGGTTATAATTTTTTCAATTACATATTGCAACGACTCGATCAGTTATTAAGGTAAGTGACTGGCCGAAGATTTAATTTCAATGTGTTATTTACGTATCCGCTTGACAAACCGTGTCTTTTATTGTACACGTGATGTTTGATTGCTCTTTTTACACATTACTTTTGTACAATTGGTTTTAATCTTTCATTTTTACTTGTAATTTTGTTTGTATCTATGATAAGCGTGTAACTCCGATTATTGGTTTGTTCCCTTTTAGAATTTGCGCTCGATAAAGACCCAAACCCGTGGTCGAAACGTCGTTATATTTTTTATTTATTAAACAAGCGCCAGAGTTGCAAGGTCGACTAAACTGATCCATTATTAGACAATTGTCTCTCTCAACGTCAGCTACGAATCTATGAACTATTTCCAAATTTGGCGAATCAGTCAAGTAGCGCCGTGACTCCGGGAAATATTTTATGGCCTTGGTACAAGAATGTTTTCGTGGGCGCGCCAGGATGCGTCGCACGTGTTGAACATAATCGTGCCCGATGTCGATAAGCTAAAGCATAAGGCATGTTCTGAAAATTCTGTACAACTGTTACTAATGACCTGAAGTGAGCATGGGCGGCTTCAAACCGAAAACACCACTCTTGTCGAGCAAGGTTCAAATAGCCGAATGCATCCCAGAGTACGAATAAGAGAATGAAACCATGGTACTATAGAATCGGGATACAATCGCTTAAATCGCGGTACGGCAGGTGCATTCTCGATTAGACATCGAGACGTCGGGGAAACGAGATATCGCCGCGGGCCAATCCGCGGGCTTAAAAATGCCCCTTGCGCAATTATCCGCCGGTACTTCCTAATATCGCGATCCCCCGAGTTTCTTTCCTACTTAAATATAGGCGCTGTCTATTCTGGCGCTGGCTCGTAAATTTAGAATCGCGCGTTTATAACGATTGACGCAAGGACTCGGAGCGCACACGTGGACGGAGAACGTTCGAAAGGTGACACGGGAGGCTGCTAGAATGTCACGTCTTTTTTTAAGCTTTTTTTTTACTGAACTTGTAACAATCGCAATTCGCGACTTCACGCTCGCGAGATGAGCATCAGCCTGGCGCTTCTGAGAACAGTAAAGCGTACTCCGCGGGTAACGGCGCGGCGCGTCGCAGCGATCCGTGCGACCGCGGTGCAATTAAATTCGAAAACAAAAATGAAAATTCTCACAGATACGTCATCGGCGTGCCGAGCGGCCGCGGCTCAACCTGTCATTAGTCGAAATTTGTAAATTATACGCGAAATAATTAAGTTAGCGAAACCTGTTTGGAAACTTGTAATTTCAATAATTTTCCTGGACAGCGAGTAATTAATTCTTGCTCTCGATTAGAAGAGCCTTTTAATTTATTAGATACTTCGAAACGTGCTCCGTCCTACTCGTAAGTTACCGTCTTATTATCGCAAAGAGACGCCTTTAACCCGCTATTGCTCCGTTTTCAAGGGACGCAAACACGTATTGGAACTTTTCCGCGGAATCACGATCGGCAACTTTTTCTTCGTTACGCTATCACCGTCGGGGGGGAAAAAGATAAGATTTAATCGCCGACGGGAGAAACAATAAATTACGTACCACCGTGCGAGCGGTAATAAATAACCGCGTATTTCAATTACGCCTAGCCTTCTGGGATACCGCAAAAAAAGGGCAAGGCCTTGTGTTTTCTAGCAATAAAATTCTCGCGCCGATGCAAAGCTGATGGATGACGAACAAAAGTGCGCTAATTGTCGAGCAAATTCGAACGCGTGTATCGACAGGACATACGGACACGTGTAAAGAGAGAGAGAGGGGGGGGAGGGAGAGAGCGCTTAAACTGGAAAACTGGAAGACTCGTTCCAATCGATCGCGATCGATTGGCTGGCCGATCGAGAACGGAAGCGATGATTTCCCCGAGTCCTTCCAAGCCCGCGGCTTGTCACGCCAGTCCGCGCGGGAACGAAGGCAAACCGATTATTATCGCTAATTGCTTAATTCTAGCGTCGGGCTCGGAATGCCGCGTAATTTCGCCGCGAAAACAAGAAGCGGCGGGAATTCGCGATTGCCGACCGCGGCAACGTGTAACCCGATACGGTCCGGAAGAATGCAATTGCGCCCGTTACGAAGCGATACGGGGCAAAAATATCGGAAACGATCTGCAATCGCGCGCGTTCTGCTTAATTTAATTCACCTTTGGCGCAATTCGCTGCCCGGGAGCAGCGAGAGAGGCGGCTATCAACGTGCACACGTACGGAAATCTGTTTAAGCGGTGGAGGGGGTAAAAAACACGCCGTAATCCGAAAGAATGCGAGTACAACCGCCACCTCTCTCTCCCTCTCTCGCCCAATTTGATTGATCTCGCGGCGAATATCAAGATTGCGGTGGAATCTTGCGAAAATTATGCGGCGCGAATCGAATCGCCCGCTATTGCGCTCGAATTAATCCGACACGCACGTTAAAGTCACTCGAACGACCCGCCTCGGAGCGGAATGGCGCGCGCTGGTTAAAATTCGTCCTTCCCAGCTGCGCGCTTGTCCTCGTTTCCGTATCGCGAAAGTGCGGCGATAAGGCGCCGCGCGAAGAACCGAACAAAGTACTGAATTAATATTGGCCGATATCTTCATCGACGTTCCTCGTATTCGCCGGCGCGACTCTCGATATGTCCCTCACACTTTCCGCCGGACGGCTCTTCGACTTAACACTGCGGAAACCTTGATTTCCGATGTATATTAAGTCGAGGACATTTCGGCGCGTCGCAAATGCTCTGATAAAGAAAGCGAACCTCTATATCTGTCCTCTCCAACAATTTGAGATACGATAAAACACGTGTTATTTTCTAGGGACAAGTACGGTAATAGTCGCAACACTTTTTTTAGCGAGCTTAGAAACGCGTCCATTTAGATTCAGGTTTACGTCCCGAGGCAATTTCTCCGAGGAAAATTTTACTCGAGACATGGAAACGCTCAAAGTGCACCCACAGAAAAAATTTCCGGATTTTTGCTGTTACACTTCAACGTATCATAAAATAGGATCGATATAGCGCTAATCATATTTATTGTAGAGAAAGGAATATTTTAATCTTAAATGCAAAATTCTAAAATCTAGAATAAAACGATAGTCTTTTGTCGAATATCGTGGTGGCAACTTTGTGCGTTGTAAAATGGAGGGAAAATTTATCTTAAACGCAAGAATATGTTAAGTTACTCTCGTCTCAATATAGTAAGTCAATCTTTTTTAATTCGATAGAGGAGAACAAGAGTTATTGATTTTATCTTGATACTGTCTTATTTTTCTACCAAATGAGGTTGTGAGAAATATAAATGCGTCCAAAATATTTTTTGTCGCGGTAACAGAAATCCTTTCTGAGGGCGTGGTTTCGAGAAAAACGTCCCTCGGAGAAGATTTTGGGACGCAACCCTGAATCCAACTGCGCGTTCCTCAACTCGTTAAAAGAAACTGGAACCTTTCTGTCCGTCACTGTCCGTCTCGTAGAATTAATGTTTGCGATACCAATATATGACATTATTTTTCAGCTAGCACGAATATTTCCACTTTGCGGTTTCTCTCTCTCTCTCTCTCTCTCTCTCTCTCTCTCTCTCTCTCTCTCTCTCTCCGTCCACGTAGATACGCGAGTTGCGCTTGTCCGCGAAAAACGACGCAAAAGTGATTCTTGTCTCGGTAGCGCGCGAACGTGTCGCATCTAGAATGCGAATTTCCCCGAGCTGGAGGACTGAAAAAGGCCGCGGACAATAATTCACCGTCATGGCAGTATGAAGATATCACTCGACGGGCGAGCGGAATATCTTAAAGGGTAGCGGGAAGCGTGGTAAGGTTGTGTCTCGAGATCTCGAGCGGAAGACTCGCGACGAACGTCTACCGACGACGAAGCTCGTCGTCATGCTCGTCGTCGTCGTTGTCGTCGTCCACGTCAACGTCGAGGAGATCCGCGACAAAGCCGGTTCGAGGGAACGAGCTCGCGCGCGCCATATACAATACAATCACTATTTGCAGACGGCGTTAATTTGTGACCGAAACGGAGAAGTTACAGGGCGACGTCGCGACGATGTCGAGCTGTCACCGAGACGTGCGAGCGATGGGCCGGCGTCACGTGGAAAGGATATTTCCGGAAGTGGCGTGAGGGAGCAGACGAGCAGATTTTTTAAGAAACCGTTAGTCCCCCCCCCCCTCTCTCTCTCTCTCTCTTTGGAGCAAACGATTTCGTTGTTCCTTTGTCGAGTCAACTCCTTCGTGCGCTATCAATATTATACCGCTGTGAAATAAAGTGCCTACAACGAATGAGTGTCACGTGCGTGAAAATTCATATGACTGCGCTTTAAGCCCTGAATTACGTTGCGCGTAAACGTTTCGTCTCGGGCGAAAATTGAATAATGCATCCTAGAGTTAATACACGAATTTGTCCCGTCACGGGGATTAATGCAGGACGCGAGAATTCCGACGTATGGAAATGACGTTTTTGCGTAAACAGCGCGGAGCAGCTTCGGTTGCGCGCGCGGGCTGTAACCGGCTCGGCAGGCCGGAGAGAGCCGAGGGAAATTTAGCAAAGCCTGACAAACGACCGCCATTTATAAGTAGATAGGTCAAGGCGAGCGCTTAAGCATCTCAATATAAATTGCGAAAAAACCCCGAGGAAAGAGACGGGGGGGGGGACGCGCGGGGGACGCGGGGGAAGAAGGAGAGGACGCGGCGTGTCCGTCCGCTCCGCGATACCCGTTGCGCGCGCGCGATTATCTCTCCGGGTGAAAATCGGCGGAATACATCGCGCGAGAGCCGGCGGATCAGAATTCCGAAAATTGCCGAGCGACGAAGGTGCCGCCGTCGGCGAAT